AATCTTTCGAATTCGCATGAGTGCCAATGACGATGACAACACCTAAGCATAATTAATATCTTTTGTTTTGACCGTTGGAAACACCAACCCTGAGAACACATGAGACGATCGCGTCCACTCCGAAAAAACTTCTTCCACTCCTTTTCAAAACGTATGTGAGGACCAACCGATAAGCAAGAGTCAAAAAACAATACCACCACTTCAGACATGTATGAAGACAATTGCCCTGATCAAACCAGGTAGAACTTTGAGATTAAATTACTACAGGGAAGTTCGTACTCAATTACGTAAGATTTTTCTTTCGAAACTGCCGGAATTCTGCCATGGATGTCGCTCTCGCTTCACTTCATCCTTCGCGGGCGGCCTGTGGTGTCATACGGTACTACCGGCATCACGAGGGTGCTCCTGGAAGCAATCCGGACGTGCTACCGATACATTCTCGAAGCAAAACCAATGGATACTTCTATTCGGATGGACGACGAAAAACTGCTCGTTTTCGTTTCGGCAGTTCACGCAATACGGTGTTCGTACAGGTATCTCTATGAATCACACTGTAAAAAGGTTGATCCTTTGCTCTGTACCGTACAGCACCGAATTCTTAAGTGTTGCAAGAAGAAGAACGGGAACAAGAGCATTGCGTCGGATTGAAGCAACAGTGACCCGTTGCTTGGGGGGAAAGACAGAACGAAGCACCTGCTGGAGTGGCATCAACTACTACGACTAGTACGATTGCGACCGGAACAATCGCATTCACCAAACCACTTGCAGGCGTGCCGATAGCGGCATCGTATCGTACGGTAACTAGTACGGTACCGACAGAGAGATGCGTGAACAACTGCTCCGGAGTGCGACTCGTATTTCTTTGTGCTGTACTTTTTCCTTCTCGTCGTTTCGCTGCCACAAGAACTTGCTCCCATCGTGAAAGAATCTGTTTCCCCCCCTAGAAACAGCCAGAGTCTTTCACCACCCAATCAATGGTCTCGTCGTCGCAGCGGTGGGAGCTTGTTGATGCGCCGTGCGAGACCCGGTATCGCACGGTACATTACCAACAGAGAGATGCGTTCACAACTGCTCCGGAGTGCGTGCGGTACTTCTTTGTGCTGTCACCTGCAAAGGCCGCGGCACCGTACCGTAGCACCGTTTCGTTCTCGTCGTTTCGCTGCCACCAAAACTTGTTCCCATGGTGAAACAAACCATCTGTTCCGCCCCTAGTAAAAAACCCGAGCGGCCCCGCTCCGAGTGGTGCAAGACACACGGCCAGAGTCTTTCACCACCCAATCAATGGTCTAGTCGTTGCAGCGGTGGGAGCTGATGCACCGAGCGAGACCCGTGCCGTCGGAGGTGCGATCCTCGCACTTTGGTTCGCGGTTCTGGGTGTTGTGTTGTGTTGTATAAAATGTAGTATTATTTGTTAGTACAAGTATCTAGTAGTATTGGAAGACTTCGGTGCGGTGCGGTGCCACAGAGACGATTGCTATCACGGCATGGGTCGCGGTTTCGTTTTGCAATCCAATCCAATCGACACCGGCGCTGTTCTGTTCCGTTCCGTTCTGTTCTGTTCCGTTCCGTTCCGTTCTTGCCTAGAGGACGAGGTACTTGGACAGAACCAGATCCGTCGGGCCGATCGAGGCCAGCCCGAGTATCCTCGTGCAGGCCCAGCCGCTGAGGATGGGAATGGCGATGTTGTCGTCCAGGTGGAAGGGCGGAACGCGGACGCCGCAGACGGTTTTCGGCAGGGTGAGGGCCGGCGTCGGAACCATGAGGTCGGCCAGGGCCCCCGCCAGTCCCAGGGCAAGGGAGATGGCCAGAACGGTCGGCTTTGCAATGGGCCCAACGGTGTTCTTGACCGCCGCCAGCGACAGCAGCCGGTAGTTGAGGGGCACGCAGCAGATGGCTCCRCCCARGAATCCCAGGATGCCCTTGTTTCGGCCGAGTCCGAAAAATCCGTTGTTGATSCGGCTCCAATAGACGTGGCGGGTGGCCCGGCCRAAGAAGCTGGCGGTGGGGTCCGCAATGGCCAGCTGGCAAATCCCGAGTGTTGCGCACGATTTGGGAAAGAGAAAGGCGGTGATCGTGACCCCMCCGAAATAATACATGCCTCCGGTAAACTTGCCGTCCATCTCGTTTTTGCGGAGGGCCTTTCCGAGGAAAAAATGGAGGAGATTGTTCATCCATTCGAATCCCTTGCGGTACCTCAACAGCTCGATGGTCAGGTTTAGGCCCGTGAAGAAGGTCATGCCGGGCAAAAAGATTCGGCGGGGAATAAAGTGATTGCACGATGCAAAGAGCATCCCCCAAGAGAAGTGCAAGAACTTTCGGCGTTTGTTGGTGGCGTTTCGGTTCTGGATTTGGATGTGGATACAGTAATTCATTCCATCATTTGTTCATCCAGTTTTTCATTCGTTGGATTGTGTTGCGTAGTTTTGCGTTGCGTTGCGTTGCGTCGTGACGGGACGTGTCGTGTCGTGTCGCGTCATGTTTTGTCATGTTTGCGATTTCAAATTAAAATTTGCGAGCAATCGATAAATGTTCCCAAGTCGTGTTGGGTTTTACAATAGTTTGCAGCGCGGTTGTTCGATGAGCAAATCGCAGATGCATCGAATGATCGTCGATTGGTGTCGCATTTGCATTTCGAATTGGATAGTTATTGGAAACGATTTTTCAGAGGAACAGACGAGAACAACAAGAGAAAGAAGATTTTTGAGATGCCCGAATCGTGTCCGACAAAAAGAAACAAAAAGGTCTCTGTACCTCGAATTAATTGTTTGCGCACCAAGCCCTGCATGGCCGGCCTCTGCTCGACTGCCTCTGCTGCTGCAGGTGCAAATGATGACAAACACAACTACTTTCTCCATACAGTAAACCCGAACGCAACGCAACGCAACGCACCTTGAGCTTCTTGGCAATCTTCTTGTGCTGCTTGATCTCCTTCTTTTTCTCTATCCGTTCCTCCTTGTCCTTTCGTTTCTGCACCTTTTTCTCTTCCTTGGACACAAAGTCGTCGATGGCGGCCACCTGGGCTCCCCCGCTCGTCGCGCTCACGCTCGTCGCCGCGGTCGCTTCGGGAGAGGCAGGGGCTCCCTTGGCCTTGGTCTTGATGTGCCCCCCGGCCAGGGCCATCTCCGCGGCGCTGCTCGTGCCCGTGCCCGAAGAAGACGCCGATGACGATGCGGATGACGATGCGGATGCCGATGCCCCGCCCACGACGGCGTGGATCCTTGCCGCCGCCGGGGTCGGGAGGGCCGAGTGCGCCCCCGGAGGGGTGCCCCCGAGGCCGGAGTCTCCCCCGCGAAGGATGCCTAGGTTCGGGCTTGCCTTCGTGTTCGTGCCCTGCGAAAACACCGATCTTCCAAACAAGGGGAAATGGCTATGGCCGTGGCCGTGGCGCCTCTGCCACGGAGCCGTCGATCGTCCCTCGACGGACAGGAAGACCAGCGCCAGGACCAGCAGGGACGAGGAGAGGAAGGGTATCGATATCATTGCTTTTTTGTGTGTGTGTGTGTGTGTGTGTGTTTGTTCTTGGATTGCGACTGCGACTGCGACTGCGGCTGCGATGGCAATTGCAACGTGCTTTCGGTGAGTGTGGGCGTCGAGAGTTTGGAGTTTGTCTCTTGCCAGAGTGTTGTTGCCAAGGGTACAATAGTACAATTCGTAAGTTGCGTTGCTCGTCGGTGCGTAATGATCTCAAAATGACAACAAGAAGGCACACAAAAAAGGTTCGGTTCTGTTCTGACAGTCCCCCTCCTTTGTTGAACAAGTACGGATCCGGCGTAGAACGCACGCAACTGTTCTTTCGATCGAGCCGAGGAAACAGAACAAGAAAACGAACGACCTGCGCAGCGATAAGTACTGTACAGTAGTATGTAACCGTATCTGCTGGCGTGGATATTCAAAAACCACCCAATGGCATCCGTGCTCGGAAAATGACATTTGGTGACTGTCGTGACGCTCCCGTGACACGGCTCACCTACTGCTAGCCGCTTCAACATGACAGGAGGTGAGTGAGTGAGTGAGTGTTACCGTACGGTAGGATGTGACCTGCCTGCCCCGAGCGCGTACCCGCAGTACTACTGCTACGCATACTACGCCTACCTTCCTTGCTTCCGCCAACGGAACAATCTGGCGGTTCGGTACGGTACAGTACGGTACAGTACTGTACTATATTGCGGCACAGCATCGTACGTACGTACCTTGCGGCAGGCGCGATTGTTTCCGAATTCAAATACTGTACGTGATAAAGTACTTCACGGGCACGCTACGCACCGCACCGAGCGCATCGCTGCCATTCGCCCGATCCGTCGCAGCAACGCAACGAACCGAGGAGTGCAGAACCAATCGGATGCCTCGTGCGATTTCGTCCGGCAACCGGCGAACCCATTTCGGGAGGCGTACGGACGASGAACGGCGGGGGACCAACGACGGAATGCACGGAAGCCGCGAAGATAGGGCTCGTAGTACTGGTACGTACGTACCACAATACAGTATTTGATATTTGTTCCCACCGCACCGATGCCATACCGTACCGTACAATGCGTAGAACAAGTACGTACAGACTGTGCTTCAATACGGAGAGTTTAGTCCTGGCTGCCTGCCCACTGCCTACCGAGAGGAGGAAGACGGCAACTGTTACCAAGAAACCTGGTTTTGGAAGGAGACGCTGTTGCCGATTTGGATGCACGGATTGCAGAACACCATACGCACCGTCCCTTGCCGCAGAGAAGACCACCGAATCCACTCGACCCGACTCCACTCGACGGAACGAAACTCACACCCACCGCCACCCCGCTCGAACGAACGAACGCCATGGCCTCCGCCCACTGCAGGTCCCACACGGACGCCTACCGGAACTGCCTGAAAGAGTGCCGGGACTCCGGAAGGTCCAAGACGGCCTCCAARACCTGCAAGCCGCTGGCGGTGCGGCTCGACGCCTGCCGGGAAGACTGGAGGAAGAAGCACACCGCGCCAAAAGTCCTTTTGCAGGGGCAAGCGCCACGAGCAAAGACAAAGAAGACAAGTACGACGACAAAGAAGAAACAGCACTACCACCCTTCCGGCTTTGACGGAACCCGCGTCCTCCCCCACCCGAGGTGCCGGCCCCTGAGCTGCGACGTCCAGAGGTGCATCGAGTGGAGAAAGGGGGACCAGTCCCTGTGCTTGACCGAGATCCAGAAACTAAAGGCCTGCATGGAGGAAAACGAGGGAACCGTGGCCGCTCCCACCGAGGGGGACAGGGTCTGGAGCGTCTGAACCGAACCGGAACCGAATCGAACCGAATCGTTCCCAACCAAAAAGCAGGGAAAGACCCGGGCGGAGGCTTGGCCGGCCAAGGGATTGGCAGGGAGCGGGGTGCCACACAACACAACACAACGCTCCGCCCCGCCAATCACCAATGACAACCTGCGACGAGAAAAAGAAAGGGATCGATCGATCCTTTGGATGGACCAAACAACCAGAACGACCAACAAAGAGCGGRTTCGGTTCGATGCATCTTTTCTAGCATTCCTCCGCCGCTCGTCCCTTCCTTGGGTATGRCATCGAACAGGTGCCGGGAGGACAGAATAGATCAGGCGACAAGCAAACCRTCCAGCGGCACCGCACGCGCTCGATTCTTTCGCTCCTCGGTGCCCTGCGCAGAAGTGGGGGCACCGTGGGCCGCATCACAAGGTCACTAACTATCTCTCGGCACCGTACCGTACCGTGCAAGAATGGGTGTTCGGCAAGCAAGCGTAAAAAGACGCAACGGCACCACGATACAATAACAAACTAACGGACAGACACAAATCGTTTTCTAGAAGTTAGAAAGCACCGTATGCATGCAGGAGGATTGTTGTAGTGCAGCGGTGTTCGGCGGTTCCGACTCACGCCACGCGGCCGTAGGAAGACCTCCCGAGGGCCTGCCGCGTCTTCCGGGTGTACCGGGMGATGGCGTCCTCGTCGAGCTTGCCCCGCACGACGGCCTCCTGGCWMGACCGCCGCGTGCACCTCGCGTACAACCTCGACAGGCGCTCGGGGTCGGGGGCCCCCTCGTACCGCTGCAGGTCCTGCTCGTCCAGGACGGTGTCCCAGGCGTCGTTCCGCTTGTCCTGGACCTCCTGAATGCAAAAGTACCGCTCGAGGCCCCGGGTGCAGTAGGTCACGCCGCCGGTGTTCTCTTCCTGGATGGCCCGGATCAGGGCCATGGTCTTGCGCTTGATCGCCTCGTATTCCTCCGGTTGGAACCAGAGGTCTTCGAGCTCGTCCTCCTCCACGAGCTGGGATTGGCACAAAACGCGCTTCACGCGGACCCTTTCGTTGAAATCGATGGAACGCTCCCTAGGAATGGTGGGGGCAGGGGCTCCTTCCGGGTGCTCSGACAAAGCAATCGGTGGCGGAAGCGTGTTTGGATTCCCGATCGGCGATGTTTCCGGCGACGATATCGTTGTGGAGGATGCCTCGGAGACATCCTCGTCCGAGGAACCGTCGTCCGAGCTCACAAAGTTGACGTCTTCTTCGGGAAAGGACGACATGGAAGAAGCCAGACAGGGAGTGATTGTGTCCGAGCTGATGATGCTGCTGACGCTTTCGCTCCTCTCGTTGCCATGGCCGACCCTTTTTTCGTCCCCGACATTGGTTCCATAGGAAGCTTCGTTTCCATCGGCGTTGGCAAAACTGCATTCATTGGAATAGCTCGTGTTGGAACTGCTCCCGCAAAARCTACCCCCGTACAGATCGCCGGGGTTTATCGATGACGAGGATGTTGGCTCCYGGGAGTCCCCAAGGAGGAGATCGTCCGCGGAATAACTTCCATCGCTCACGATGCTGCAATCGTCGTCGATGCTGCTATTGGARCAGCTGTAGCTGTCAACGGCAGTCACGCTGCCGCTCGAGGCATTCCCGCTCGGATCCGCAGCGTCGGTGTCGTTCTGGGTGGAATCCTCCTTTTGGTTTCCGAGCACTTTCGAATCTACCGCGGACGAACCCTCCGATTGCTCCCGRAGTTTCCTYTGCTGCTCCTCCCTCTTTTGTTTCAGGGCGCTCTTCTTTTTTACGTTGTTCTCGCTGTCGTCTCTCGAAAGAACAGCGGGTGAGTTTCCGATGCCACCCCGCTTCTTGTTTGATTTRTGGAGACTCCTTCCGTGAATCGAAGCGAACGAGAGTTCTCTGCGCTCGCGGGTGGCCTTCGTATCCGGAGGCCGGGACTTCTTGGCGCTGCCGCTCGAAGAATCCGCCGTCTTTTTGGAAGACTTTTTCTTTTTCTTCTTGCTGGTGTCGCGSTKTTTGTTGCYGTTTTTAATTTTGGTGGTGCTTTGGCTGTGGTTGCTSCTCGACCCAGAGGATGGTTCGGGTGAGTCCTTTGTGTTCGAGCCGGCCTCCAGAGCTTGGTTCGTAATCTCGGTGGTAGCACTTGTACCAGTACTAGTACAGCTACCGCTGCTGCTGCCGCTGCTTCTCATTTTAGACGACGACGACGACGACGACGACGATGATGATGCAGAACTCTTTTTCTTCTTTTCTTTCTGGCTTGCCTCTTTTTTGGGGCTCGAAGATACGGAACGAATTTCCGTAGCGGACCCACTAGTTTTTCGGTCTCCTTCCTCGAGAACCATGGCATCCTTGGCAATCCCCCTTTTGAAGGATTTCTCCTTGCTCTCTTTGCTGAAGCTGCTGCTCATTCTATTCGATCTGCTGTTATCTGTAGCTGAGGGTCGGTTGAGTGATTCACCGACTACGATCATGTCAGTCGATGGCGAGGACGCTGCCACATTGTYAGTAAAGACGTCAGCTACCATCATAATTCGGAGATGTGTGCTGTTCTGCTCTGCTCTGCTCTTTGCATAAAATGAAGTTGCGGTGACTCCGAGACACGTAAGGATTACCGCATTTATTTTAGCTGAAAAACGATATTCTTTTTAGTCTAGAAAACGCGACTGTCGACAGATTGAATAGAAAAAGAAGGATCAGGGCCGTAATGGTAGAGCTGTCTTGCGAGGACGATGGTGAGTTGTCGATGGTTTTGTACGTACGGTATGGTTTGTSAAGTCGTGCCGCAGCCATATGGTACGCATCGTCATATCCGAAAAAAAGAAACTAACACTTCTAGTTAGTGTACGAGTACTTACTCACGGTATTGTTCCAGAGAACATTTACGAACCGCATGCATCACGCCCATGGAAAAGGTCGAGCTTTATATAATGACATAATAGAACCGGACTGAATGTCTTCTGAAGCATACTCTTGCCTCCTAACTGAAGGGGCATAATCAAAAGAAACGATATAAGCTTTGGGGTTCGATAGTGAATGACCGTTTAGGGACAAGTTTCGATTTGGTCATTTTMGGACTTATGTCAAGACATTTCAATGGAACAATGAGACTTAACAGACAACAGTATTTTCGTCGAAGATTATTTCAAGGGTCCAATACTACCAGATCAGAATGTAGTATTACTAGCGCTCTATCTTCCCCCGAGAGAGTGTCCCATCATTGTCTATCAGAAGGGAATACTTCTCACGGAAGCAATCTCGACTGTTACAGGAAAAAAAATAAAATCGATACATCGTTAATACTTTACGTACTACAAGTACTTTGATATTTGTAATTATGGTGTTGTAGCTCGTCAATTATCGAAAAAGCTTTTTATCAGGCTTTTCTCTAAAAATCGAAAGAAATACATACTACTGTTTTATATGGCTTTGGGTGTCCCATCGAATGGAAGGGGTGCATGAAGAGACATCCAAAACTCATACTCCATAAGTGATGCCAACAAGAAATACTGCTAGTACTAGTATTACTGTAAATATTGTTGCAAAAAGCAACAAAAAGTGTAACAGCCATTGCTGAGTTGCTCAAATTTAACATGTACCCATGCACACTTTGGTGGTCAGCACTACTAGCTACTAGTAGTAGCTAGTACTAGTAGGAGGAGTACTAGTACATCACACAGAGCACTTTCATCCCGTTAATATTTTCTCGCAACACACGAATAAAATTTTCTTACGTATTTTGTGGTCGTGTGTTTCAGCAAATTTCTCCCCCCACAATRCGCGCAACAATGTYGCCATGCCCTATATTCCCTACCCTAGGTAGCTACTAGGGCTGTTTCATCCCAGGTTTGAAATTTCTTAATTTCGATTCAATTATTTCATCTTGTTGATATTGAAACTTTGTTGTAGTAGTTGATTATCTAATTTTCTTCCCCTCATTATTGATTTTCATCTACTCAATTTTGAATGTTTCATCTAGGTAACAAAAATCCTGGATCGATCAGTCAAAATGTCTTTATATCTTACACCGAATAGTATTTTATTTTTATTTATATTCGAATACGTCAAACATAACCTGCGAATCAAGATTTTCTGGCAAAGCAGAACCTGGGCCATTTTGGGTATTTGTCAGACAGAATTTATGGCCGAGGYGAGCCTGAAATTTTCCAGGGTCGAAAACGGAGCTAGAGAAATCCCTTACACCGCCCAAGCGATAACTGTAGTGGTAAGAGCAGTCGCCRTTGTCACTTAGATGACRTAGTAAGAGCTGTCGTGACGTTACAACACCATCATTTTTCCTTCTAGTTCCAGAATACTAGAGTGTGGGTTGCTTGCRTTTTTTGTTCGATTTGTTGTTCTTCCTTTTTGTAACACCATCGGCAGTAAACTCTTAGCTTGGGCGACCGACCCATAACAGATTAATTRGTAGTACATTGTTGTGTTTGATGGGTTCTTAACGCAGTGAAGAAAATTGACATGAAGCAAAATTGGAAAATAAGATATCATGAGAGGTGACATATTCTTTTTTTGACACAAATGGTTGTTTCAAAGGCTACCGATATGTGATATCTTGCACATAATGAAAATACTACTGTTTCCAAAAAAATATATTGTGAGACAAGATAGCATGGTGATACACAAATGAAAAAACAACGTGGGCAAGATATAACCAGGGGTGACTATGATACTAGAGGCTTATTTACCATGCAATTAGCGCAACACCATGAAAACAGTTTATGTGACGTACTACTACTAGTAGTAGCCGAGTAAATGTCAAAGACCAGCCTGTCTTGTGTGACGCTCTCTGTTGGTTGTTTACTATGAGGCAAATGTGAAAAATACTGGGTAATATGGTGTGTGTTGGAGGTGGATGCAAGCAATGCTTTGCTGACACTCACAAGAATAGTTTTCTYGTATACACAGTGGTAGTACTAATAGTAGGCGAGCAAGGAAGTACTACTACTAGTAGGTGCAATAGATATGAAGGCTTCCATGTCTGCTGGGAATAAGTGGGCATGAGATGGACAAGTCTGTGTTTTCAGAGCAAACAAATTGTGGACTTTTGTTGCAATTATCTGTCAATATTGTGCTTGTTTCTGAGAAAGGATGTAGCCATGGAGGTCTTTATTTTGTTGTTCCCATAATTTGATATAGTAAGAGGCAAGGAAGAATTCCACAAGATAGCCTCCCAGCACAAGTGGGGAGTGAAAGCTAGAATGAAGATCATAKTCAGTAAACCACTGGAGTGAAATGTGGCCAGCAAACATGTGGTGCCAACCAATCTCACTCTGGAAATGAATAATTGGATGAAGAGATGTAGGATATTATTTCTCTGGGGAACAAACTGTGCTAGTATCCAACCATATTAAAAAGACAGCACTAGTAGTAGTATTTTTTGCTTAATAGTACTAGTACTAGTACTACTAGTACTAGTACTAGTATTGGCACAACATCAATCTCTTTCTTACAATAGCAGTAAGTGTTTGCAATTACTTTAAAAGTTTGCCGTCTGCTTCTTGCTCTTCTCAATTCCAGCATTAGCACAACATCAACAACCTGCTTATTACAAAGATTACTGCTTGCACTAAAGTCTGTAACCATCAGAGTTTGTAAATTCACTCTTTTTACCTAGAGAGAAAAATCATTTTCTTTGTGATAACAGGGCAAGCTCCTCTCAAGTTTGTTGAAGATTAAAGATACTACTAGTAGTAGTACTAGTACTACTAGTAGTACTACTAATTGCAGTAACCTCACTGTATTACTAATCTCAAGCAAAGAAGCTCCTCTCAATCTCAGTGCTGAGGGCAATGGTGTGGTACAAGCAGATTAAAAAAAGCTCTCAGTTGGGYAGCATTCAAAAATTCTCTTACTACCTTAACATGGAGCTTTATGGTGCAACAAGCGCATCCTCGATAGTGCACCATACTACCAGTTYGCCAGCAGCTAGAAGAAGAACTTCTAAACAATACTATGAGGATTACTGTAGTAAATAATAATTGATTATCATTCATCTAATCAATTGACTCCCATCACTAGTTCTTACWATTTGATGACTGCTACAATGATCCCACACAAAATTTTTCAGTACAAATTCTTCTCAACATTTACAGATGACTCACCTGTTCAGAATATCATAAAACTGTGGCAATTTATTTGTAAGTTTTTAATGCTCTATATAYGCACATCTATTGAATTTGTCTTTTTACTGGGATTCAATTCCTCATGTACCTATCATACTTAAGCATCTGTTGGGGACCAATTTATAGTGGTCACTAGAGTGAGTTGACCCTTAGTTAACAACTCTCTAGGTGTTTTTCTCCTGTGTGTTGATTGTGGGCTATCTTTTTACTGTGTATTGACCCATGGGATCAAAATTCAAACCTGTACTACCAGTACAGCAACTGCACATATCGAAGCAAAAAGAAGACAGTGAGGAGCACATGTGCAGGAAACTATTGGTTCATACACTGGTGGGACAAAATTCAGCCTCTGCCTGGCTGTAAATTTCAGTACAAAMCAGATTTTTAGTCAAAATCTACAACTGTATTGTCAATTTACTGTCTATTTTTGAGGCAGATCTATACAATTGCATAAATTTCACCAGGTTATTTGGAAACTAACTCAGCAACCATTAGTAGTACTAACAACAATGATAGTGGTGGTGCTGCTATTAGGACAAGCCAATCCTCATGATGAATTMATGCAGAAATTGTGTATCACGCCAATATTTTGTATCATARTATATTTTAGTAGAGCTCACGACATAAAAATACTCTTTTGGTATGTACTGCTACTGAGAATATTCTTTTCATCATGATGCTGACCACTAATATAATACAACAAGAAGGGACACCAACAGCAGCAAGGAAGATGAGAGCATTATCCTTACTACTAAGAAATAATAGCACCACTGGTACAGTAACAATAACAGCAGGACAGAGAAGGCTAATAGGTAGCAGTAGTAGTCTAGAACTGTTATGTACTCTGGTGATACGCACTGGTGATTAGCTCATAGTAGGTTGATCATTCTTGTTACTGATACTATTCTTCTTCTACTACTACATTCAGCATTCTTGTTCTTGCAAACAGCTGCCAGCAGCAGCAACTTTCTGCTCCTCCTGCTGATCTTCTGGTGACTAACACTAGTAGTAGCACAAGCAGTATCAAAATCAMAGRGAGAGCAGCAGCACAATTACAAAGAAAAGCCCTATATTCCAAATTGAACCAACTTAAAAGATCACATAACATAATGATACTAATAAGATTCTATGACCAGGAGTCATTCAGCAATAATCTATTTTGGTATCCTGTAAATAGTAGTAGTAGTACTTTGATTTGGTGGACCAGCAAAATAGATGAACCAGTATGAATAGTATTTGCAGAGGATATTGCTTTCGCCTCTYTTTGTGATCCTTGTTGTTTGAGTTGTAGTTTAGTAATAATGCTGTAGAGGAATATACAGTGGAGGAGCTGTGGTGTTCACTTCTAGTGACTACTTGTGAATGCTGGGTTCCTCTTGCTCCTCAATCTCCTCCATCTTGGTGATGCATACTAATATCTGGATGACTGATAGTAATAGTATAAATGCTTTTAGTAGTCAGAATTTAGCAGGRCATCAAGATTAATTTTCCAGGATCAGGAGGAAGGGGATGAAATTTCTCTTCTACTTTGAAGTGTTCAATACTAAAGGCTCTGTACTTTGACTGTAATACTACTACTGATATTACTACCACTAAGAGGAGGAAAGGCACGATGGAAAGCTTGTGTGATGAAATGGGGGATAGACGGMCTGTTRTCACTACTAGCTGATGAGAAATCGACTGCACCGCAAAAAGCCCTGTTCTACCAAGAAAACAAATCAGCCGAGCAGGAAACACGATCCACGTTCCACTCCTTTTTGACAACAAAGAGTTTTGTTCGGAGACGACGAAGACGATACATTTCTACCGAAATGGTTGTACTCCTTGCTRTGCTGCTGGCCGCAACTGTCACCATTACTTTCGTCGATGGCGTGATTCTACTAAATTATCCCCAGAGCGACAAAGCCCTGGCCGGAAGCATCGGGGTCCCAAGAAGGCAAAGATAACCAAGGGACCAAAGAACGCCAAGGCACCGAAGGGGAATTAGAGATCGGAAGCGGTCCCTCCCACGTTCTCCCGGTCGGACGCTCCATCGGTCTTTCAATCCCAGGGTACCTCTTTCCCTCCCAACCTATCCGGCTACACAGGCACTTCCAGTTCTAGCCCATTCTTCTCCACYGCCTGGCACTTGGGGGTACTATACCGCCACATATCTCACGGAACCAAGACGTGTCTYGTGATGGCTCATAGTCTTGCAAAGCAGAGTAGATTTGGTATTCGAACAGACGAAAAGAGCACCAAGTCAGCACGCATACGCATCCATACACGTACTTATGCATCAGAGTATCAAACAAAACAATATTTACAGTAACAATCCGATACATACAAGACAGAAGCAACAACATAACGGACTTTTCTTGGAATTCCTCTCACTTGGCGATTTGTTTGGTGTGCAATGGATTCTATTCGATTCGATTTTTTCACCATTCGAGATCCATTTCATCAGTTCTTGTCGACATCGCTGCCGAGATATCCGTAGGAGGCAAAGGTGTCCAATATGTTTTGTACCGGCTCGTCTTCCAGCCAGGACAGGACGTTCGGCACGATGATTTCGGCACCACCAACGATGCGACAACGCTCTCGGAATCCGTTGTCTCGTTCGGAGCTTTTGTCGCATTTTTCTTCCGGCGGCGTCCCCCCCGCACTGCTTTCGTCGTCTTTTTCTCGTATGTCCATGCTGTTCTTCCAMACCACCAGCTCCAGGGCGATGCACTTCTCGTACAGGACCTCCAGCTCGGCACGAATGACATCGAGCTTGTCCCGGGTGACAAAGTCGCGCTCGTACAGTCCCTGCCTGTTGCTCCCGGAGGCGTCCGTTCCCTCGATGAGGTCCCTCCGCAGCTGGACCTTCCAGGCGTCCAGTCCGATGCGCAGGATGCTGTTCCGGCTGCCACCCTGTCCTCTCTTGTTGCGGTTCGAAGAGCAGCCCAGCATGGCGTTGAGCAGTGTCCGCAGCGACACCTCGCAGGTGTTCCGCAGCATGAACACGTGGACGGGCAACCTGCCCGTGGCGTCCCTGTGCAGGGCGGTGGAGGGATRMAAGCCGTCGCCRTTGCGGTYGTCGTCYCGGTCCAGCAGGAGCCCCAGCACCCCCGGGGAGGGATTCCCGCTCCGGCAGGCCACCGTGAGCGGGACCTGGCCGTGGAGYCCCTCGGTGTACAGGGCCGACAACGGTGCCAAAGGCCTCGGACAAGCGTCCCTCCGAGCAAGGCTTTCCTCCTCCGCGTCCAGGAGCATCTCCACGACGCAGGGCGGGGCGTTGTACCGGACCGCCGTGTGCAGGGGAAGCGACTCGTAGACGTCCCGGACAAAGAGCGTGGTTTTGTGGACGTCGGCCTCCAGGAGGAGCCGGATGGTTTCCACCGTTTCGTCGCGGGCGGCCGAAGCAAGGCTCGTGGGTCCGTTCCACAGGGGATCGCCCGCATCGGACTCGGAGAAGGAGACCGCGGCCCGGCTGCAGGCCGTGTGGATCGGCAGGTCCCCCCACTTGTCGGGCCTTCCAACGGTAGAGGGATCGGCCTCCAGGAGGCTCTGGAAGATCGATAGCGGCGCGGCCTTGTCACAGGCCAGGTGGATCGGGAGTCGCTGCGTGAAGGCCCTGGCTCTGTTTTTGTTGCCATCGGAAGGAACCGGAACCTCCGCTGCTCCAGACGGGCAATCKTTGTCGTTGTCGTTGTCGYTGTGGCGGTAGGCAAACAAGTCGGCGTCCGTCATGGCCACGGCGGAGCGCAGGCATTCGGGTGGGTAGGAAGAAACGAGGAGCAGGTAWCGTTCCTCGAGGGAGGACRCGGGTTCTTCGTGGCGGTGTTGCTGGATGTGCTCCATTAGGTCTTCTAGGCCCTCCCGGAGGAGGATGCTTTGCTGCCGGTGCAGTTCTTCGTCTGCGTTGCCGGAAACCTCCATTCGATGATTCGTTTCGTTTCGTTTCGTTTCGTTTCTTGCTGGACAACAAATCGCGATCGATGCCTAGGGTTTGTGATCACACTCGTGTTTGGAATGTGGAAAAGAAGGCTGCTCGTTTGGTACCGTCCGATGTGTTTGCTTTGTCCTCGTTGATTGGAAGTTTCAAGATATTTGGAGCAAAAGCAACAAATTTTGAGACGGTGGTTTTCTGATGCCAAAACAAAGGATGTACGAACCGTACGGTACTA